CACTTTCTACCGCTTTCACCCTGAATAGAATTACTTCCTGCCCCAAACTTTCCAAGACGTCACTTACCCTTCAACCAGCAAGCCACAACTATAAAACACTGTGTTGCATGTAAGTGATCTCCTATAGAAGGGCTTAATGGCCCCTGTGTGAAATGCAACAATCTTCACACTCTTCCTCTAAGGAAACTTTTCTTTTTCATTTTCAGTGGTTTTTTCATAACAAACGATTCAAAATAAATTATTTTGGTTCTGCTTTGGGGCAGGGGTTGGAGTTCAGGATGGAAACATCCAAAATATGGTGGTGGGAAGATGTCATGGTGGTGGGATTGGTGTTTGAATATTAAATGTAATCAAATATTGTGAACTATTTTATATAACAAAATTTTTAAAATTATATAAAAAAAAGTATCACCTATAGCTCAGAGTTAACTCTTATATCTCTGGTTTGAGGTGGTTGGTTTAATTTCCAGATACAAACGACCCCTCTCTTCCTCCTCTACTGCCAGTCTTTCTCTACGGAACTGTGTCTTCGTATGTGCTTGCATGTTTTCAAAGCACTATAGCACTGTCCTCCCATTGTTCATCGATTTGCTTGAGCGGGCACCAGTAATGTCACCATTGTGAGACTTGTTGTTACTGTTTTTGGCATATCGAATATGCCACGGGGAGCTTGCCAGGCTCTGCCGTGCGGGAGGGATACTCTCAGTGGCTTGCCAGGGTCTCCAAGAGAGGCAGAGGAATCGAACCCTGGCCAGCCGTGTGCAAGGCAAACGCTCTACCTGCTAATGCTATCGCCCCAGCCCTAAGTTTTCAAAAATAAAAGATAATTATAATTTTTCTAAAAATTAAAAAATAAAACACTGTGTTGGGCCAGAACTGAGCAGCAAGCAAGTCTGGTGGGATGCAGTTCAAGCTGGTGAGGCCAGTGTGAGTGACAACTTCCACTGTACTTGAAGGACAGTTACCTCACGCCCTCAGCCCCACATCTCAATTTGGACTACGCTGAACAATGCAATACCGGATCAGCCGACAAAAATGTGACGCATTCCTCAAAGTTCTAGAAAGAGCCAGGACTCTGCATGCCCCAGAGAGCCGGGCAGACCTCAGGAAGTCACGCCGTGATCTGCCATGCCACCCCTGCCCCCTTCCCGCTCCCCAAAAACACTGAGTCTTTGTAGCCAAATGCTACAAGATCTGCCATGTCGGCTGGCCAGGAAGAGTCTCGAATCCTTGAACCATTCTTTTTTTTTTCTTTAAATGAAACCACCCTGAGCTACACAGTTACAAAGTCATCCATGATTGCTTCAGTCAACAATGTCCAACAGCAGCCCTTCACCAGCGCACGGTTAGCACCACCAATGCCCCCAGTGTTTCTCCTTCCACCTCCCAACCCTGTCTGCCTCTACAGCACTTTTCTTCTCTGTCTCTCTCTCACTCCCTCTTTCCCTCCCTTCCTCTCTCTCTTGCTCTTCCCCTGTCTCTGTCTCTCTCTGTCTCTGTCTCTTCCTTTTGGTCATTATGGTTTGCAGTACCAGTACTGAAAGCGTATCATGAATATCCCCTTACCTCCTTTCAGTACTCAGTTCTTGTCCAGAGCGGTCATTTCCAGCTACCATTGTCATCGTGGTCCCTTCTTTCTAACTGCCTTTCTCCCCCTGCTCTTTCTGAAAGCTTCCAGCCATGGGCCAGTCCTCCTGGTCCTCGTTCCTACTGTCCTTGGCCTTGAACCATTCTTATTGCTACTGGCAAGAAACGGATTGCAGCACAAGATCTCTCCTCCCTGTGAACTCTTCATTTCCTTATGACCCCTGACTATACCTGCGTTGTTCTCTTATTTTTCTTGTGTGTATCTGAGAGTTGGGAGATCTGCAGAGAACAAAGCATGCGCTTGGGGGATAAGAGGCCGGGGCCCTACCCTGCCCTTTCCTACTCATTATTCCTTAGTAACTGGAGCAGGCCAAGCCCCTTCGCCTCCTTTGGGAACTGGATTTCTACATCTTGTATCAAAGATTGCCATCAAGAACAAGTGAAATCAAGTTTAAATCACTTGATGGCTATAAAAAGAGTTATAATAAAAACTTCCCCCTCAGGGTAGTTTCCTGCCTTGAAAAGTGGTGTTATTGAGAGAGAGAGAGAGAGAGAGAGAGAGAGAGAGAGAGAGAGAGAGACAGACAGACAGACAGACAGAGACAAACAGAGAGAGAGAGACAAGAGATATACAGAGAGAGAAAGAGAGAGCAAGAGACAGAGAGGCAGAGACAGAGAGCACCAGAGATCACGGAGATGCCTATTACATTGTGGAAATGTAAGACATTCAGGATGCTGATGTGATCCACATATATGTGATGAAATGATGAGCTGATGCCCTCATGCCTGTCCATATTCCTTCCTTCCATGTGGCCACAATAGTTAAGGCCAGTTTCCTGTTTTCCCAGCAAAGCTGGAAGACTTTCCCAGTGTTTCTCAACTGGGGACCTTATGAAAGTCATGTAAAATGGAGGGGGTGAGGGTGGGGAGAAAGTATATCCATTCAGATCAGTGCAACTCTCCAGGATTTGGGGAGGAAAGAGGAAATGAGTTCTATTCGGATGCGAATTCCCCGTGAGGTGACTTCAGTTCCTAAGTCCCCAACTCCCAGGGCAAGTTAGGCTTTGAGGAGATGAGCAGAGAGACAGCGCCAGAGAAGACCTGTCGGACACAGGCGTGTGACACACCTTCTCTTCCAGCATAACTGGGCTCTGACTCACCCTCCTGCTGCTGGGGGTCTGGAGAGGAAGGGGGAGGCCGCATCACCACATCCTCAGGGTCCTGCCCTTGTCACCTGCCTGCCAAGATGCTGTATAACATGTCCAAACGCTGCCATTTCCTTATAAAGCAGGCCTCCTCCTCCTCCTCCTCCTCCTCCTCCTCCTCCTCTTCCTCCTCCTCTTCCTCCTCCTCCTCCTCCTCCTCTTCCTCCTCCTCCTCCTCCTCCTCCTTTTCTTTTCTTTCTTTTTTTTTGTTTTTGTTTGGGGGACACCCCTGGTGGTGTCTGGGGCTTTCTCCTGGCTGTGCAGGAATCACTCCTGGCTGTCCTTGGGGGACCATCTGGGGTGCCGAGGCTCACAGCTGGGTGCAAGACGAGCACCTTAACCTCTGTACTCTCTCCAGCTCTGAAGAAAGCGTTTCCTCTCCCCTTCCCCGGACTCTGCAGAGCCTACCGGGTTCCAAACGATCAGAGACAGCACTGAGGGGGCGCGGCTTCCCCGGCAGGACACGTCGGTTCCTCTGAGGAGCGGAGAACCCCAGAAAGGGCGACCCACTCGGGGAGCAGTCGCCAGTCGGAACTGGCTCAGGCCGGCCCAGGGAACCAAAACCATCACGGGAGGCAGGGAGCAAGTAGCAGGTGCTGGGGGTCATAGGCGAGAGCCGGGCAATGCATTGTGGGGGGCGCAGGGGCTCTTGGGGGGAGGACCGTACCCCCCAACTCCAGGCAGGCGCTCCACACTCGGAGGGGCCCCCCGGAGCTGGCGGGTTTGGCAGAGCCAGGGCAGCGATTTTGCTGGTGGACACCAAGGACCGTGTGCCCCTGACCTCAACCCCGCTGGCATCTGGCCAGCTCGGCCCCCAGCCACCTCGGACCCTATCCCAGACCCAGGACAACCGTCCCGCTCAGAGAGAGGCTGGAACTGGGGCCCCGTGGATGACCCCAAGTGGCCGCTGGGGACGAGCCCACGTTGGGCAAGAGAGATGTTCCCAACGGCCGCTGAATGGCAGGTGCCAAGGGAAGCGGAGGAGGACGGGGTGATTCAAAACAGAAGCAAACCAAAGCCAAACCCGAACCATCCACGCCAAACCTGCAAGCCCAGTGCCCAAAGCTGGTACCACGGAAAGCCCAGGGCAAGACTCCGGGAGCAAAGGCACCTTAGCACGGAAAGAGGGTCCCCCACCAGCACCGAGGACGGGACAGGGTCTGACCGCCGGGAACCCAGACTGGGAAGCAAGGCAAGGCCGTGTGTCTGAAACGAGCTGCTCTAAGGGATTATCGATGTTCCTTATCCCCAAGGGACCAGCCTTCGATCATCGTCTGACTGTGACTCGATCATGAGCTTTGCAACTGCATCTCATGGTGAGTCGACAGAAAATTCATCAATAAATAAGAGATTCTTTATTAAAACTACAACAAAACAAAACACCTCGCCGCAGATAAGAGCCAGATAAAACCAGACGTGAGTACTGAAGTTCTAAGGCATAATTCGTCAGGGCGAGTGGTGGTGGTGGGGAAGTGGGGGGGTCCCTGCGTTGTCAGGCCCCACCAACAGTGGGAGGTAAGGAGGGGAGGAGGTCGGGAGGGGAGGGGAGGGCAAGACTGAGGCAGGGAGGAAGGGGAGGGTGGGGGGGGGAGGGCAGGGAGGCTGGAGCGAGAAGGAGTTCAAAGCTGGAAGAGGCCCCAGGAAAGCTGTTGGAGGAGGTGGGAGAAGAGGACTCAGACCCAGGGCCTCAGGCACCCTCTGGCACGCAAGAGGAGGCGGGAGGCAGTGGCCACACCCAGGCGTGAGTCGGGATCTAGGGGTGCCGACGATGCTTCCGGGTTGCTCTGGCTTTGACTGTCTCCAAGCCCTTTGCCGCCGCGTCATTAGTGACAGGCGAGAGATGGCAAAGGCGCAGCGGCCTTGTGAGCGGCGACTCTCAGGGGCCACACGGTCCACCAGGCACCAGTGAGAGGGTGTCGTGGCCTGGCGGGGCCCCGGCAGCACCTGCAGACACTGGGTCACCTGGAGGGCTCCAGGGCGTCCCAGGCGACCGGTGACCGAGGCAACACTGGTTGTTGCTTTTCTACACAACGCCAAAGTGACACCCACGTGCAGGCTGCCACCCACCCCGCACCCACGCCCGTCCTGCCCTTCTGCTCCCCTTCGGCTCCCAGTCCCCTGGGTCATCTTTACTGGTTCTCAGCTGCAGAGCCAGACCCAGCCGTGCTCAGGATGAAACCCCGGTTGGGCGAGAGCCGTCGCACCTACCCAGACACTGGCCGCTCCAGCCTCGGAATCCCTCAGTGCAGGGCACGCAGCGGTAGGAGCCCGGCGTGTTCACGCACTGCTCCTCGGGACAGGCGCTGGGGACTACACACTCGTCCACGTCTGCAAGAGCAAAGGCAGGTCAGCGTGTCAACAGAGCACCACGGCAGGCCTGAGTCCTGAAGATGGGACCCCGAGTCCTGGGGGATGGGGACCTTGAGTCCTAGGGATGGGGGTCCCAAGTCCTGGAGGTGGGGACCCTGAGTCCTGGGAATGGGGACCCTGAGAATTGGGGATGGGGGCCCCAACTCCTGCAGAATGGGACCCCCCAACTCCCAACTTCTGCAGTGATGGAAACACCCGATCCCTGGCGTGATAAGGACCCCAACTTCTGCAGTGATGGGTACCACGACTTCTGCGGTGATAGGACCCCAAATTTTATCAGTGATGGGGACCAGGTGTGCACTTCCCCAGTTTGGGCCGAGGGAGCGAGCGCTGACTGACCCACACGAGCAAGGCAGGCTCAGGTACTTCGTCCTGGCTTCATCTTCCCCCAGGGAGCTGGTAACTCGTCTGGGCCCTGAGGTGAAGGTCAGTCTTGCCAGAAAGAACCAGGCTGGCCCGGCAGGGAACGAGGAGTGGTGGGGTGCCGGAGGGGAGCAGGAGGGGAGGCCGGGAGCCCCCTGCACTGGCCACATGCACCAGGGAGGGCCTGGCTCAGGTTCCAGGCCTGAAACGTGCTGGGCTGGAATGATTCCAACCCCTCTAGGCCACGAGTTGCTCAGAGGTGGAATAGAACTTGGGGAACGCCTAAACTTGGAATCACGGGGTTCGAGATTTCCCGGAAAACATGGTAACGGGACGCGGGGCAGTGTTATCTGTGGTCACGCCATGGCCTCCTGCCCTTCAGTCACCGCTGGGGCTGCGGCTGATCCTAGAGGGAGGCCCAGGCTGGAGTGAGGTGGGGACGGGTGGCAGGAGCATTCAGAGAGGCAAGACTGGCAGGACACCGAAGCAGGAAGAGCGAGTGATGACCTCACAGGTTTCTTTTGGGCGGGAAACGATGCATTGGGGGGGCCACACCGTGTATGACCAGGGGCTACTCCTGGCTCTGTGATCAGGGTCACTCCAGGCAGAGCTCTGGGGACCAAAGCCGGGCAGGCCCTCAGCTGAGCTCGCGGGCCACCCCTCGACAGCTGGGAAGGGGCAGAACTGCGTTGGTCCCCTCGGAAACGAGCCGTACTGTTCACCCTCTGGAGTTCAATTTTGAACTCGAGTCAGCAGACTTTAATGTCCCCCCGCAAAATAAATAGGTGTAAGATCTCTCTCCAGACACAGAGCTGCAGACAGAGGGCTGGAAAGAGAGAGCCCTGGAGGAAGGGGAGGCTAAAGACAGAGGGTGTTTGATCATCATCATTCTGGCAGCTTCTTAGAACAGTATCTCCCACTATCTCCCTGGCGAGTATGGAGAAAGATGCTGAGATGCAAGAGACACTTGCCAACAGAAAACGACACATGACAGAAGTGCTGGGACTTCTCCAAAAAGCTGAGTCTGGACCGGGGAGCCAATACAGTGTACAGTGGGGTGCTGACCTGACACACTGCCAATCCAGGTTCCATCCCCGGCACCCCGTATGGTCCCCTGAGTCCTTCCAGGACTGATCCCCGAGCACAGTGCCAGGAGTCAGCCTTGAGCACAGATAGGCGTGACCCAAACCCCCAAACCATCCCTCCCCACCCCACGGAAAAGAAAAAAGAAAGAAAAGCAAAATAGTTACATCTTTCTGGTTTCATTTTTCCAAAGAGCACTGCATTTTTCTCTGGATGGGACTCTGTGTGTGTGTATGTGTGTATGCATGTGTATGTGTGTGCGAGTGCATGTGTGTGCACATACATGGACTGTGCACACGTGTGTGCATGTGCGGATACACAGTGTGACTAGGAAGGGCTTGGAGAGGGGCCATGTGCAGTAACTTCGGAGCAATGCCAGGCAGCCTGATGCGACAGCCCTGGACTTCCTGTGACTGTCAACTCTCTCCCCCCTCTCTGTAAATGCAGAACTCCCTGCCCGGGAGAAGGTGGGAGGCAGGAGAGCATGGCTGTCACCTGTACTGAGGCCTGGGGGATGGGCAGGTCTGGAAGAGTCACAGCTGCAAAGTAGTGAGAGATCTGGTAAGGACAAAAGCCGGAAACAGCCAGCTGTGTGGCTCCCACTTTTCCGGGGAGGGAAGTGTGCATTATTGATGAGGGGAGCCTGGCAGGGTTTCTCTGTCCATTTCCATCCATGGATGGTTCCAGAATCGGGCAGGACGCGCTCCCGTATCCTACGTCCGTCACTTTCAAGTCTCGTCTGCTCCTTCCCACCCGGCTGCTCTCGTCTTCCCTCCTCCTTGTCCCCTCCTGAGCCTCTGTGGGACTCGAAGGATGAGTGTTTGCCTTCTTCAGGGCCTGCTGCTCCAGAGGGAAACGCTAGTCAGCTAATTAGGTGTCCTTAAAAAATACCCCACAATTATAGATGCATGGAGAATGTCTCGAAGCAAAATCAAGAAGGGTTGGATGAGTGAATTTCTCCTGACAAGCTCAGGGGACCACACAGGACGCCAGGGATCAAACCCAGGTTGGCTGGGTGCAAGGCAAATGCCCTACCTGCTGTACTATTGCCTAGGCCCCATTTTTGTTGTTGTTGTTGTTAGAAGAGTTTTTCTGCTGTTTAAAAGATTTTGAATACGTACATTGTACTGTACTGTTGTCTACAGGGTTTCATACGAAACACTTTCAGCACCATCTCCTCCTCCCATTGGATCTTCCCTCCAATATATTCCTTGGTCCCGCCCTGAAACTCTCTGTCCTACAGGCCAGCTCCCTCAGGCGGTGGTGTTTTTCCTATTGACTTCAGCTCTCGTGCTTTTTGTTTCTATTCTTTTTTTATATATTGAATCACCGTGAGCCATAGTGGCAAAGCTTTCATGTTTGAGTTTCAGTCATATAATGGTTGAACACCCATCCCTCTGCCAGTGTACATTTCCCACCACCGATGTCCCCAGTATCCCTCCCCTCACCCCATCCCACCCCACCCCACCTCTCCCCCTGCCTCTGTAGCAGACATTTAAAAGTGCCCTTTGTAGAGGCAGACTTGTGGGTGGAAGATAAAGTAGGGGTTTGGGGAGATTGGTGGAGAGATGTGGACACTGAAGAAGGAACTGGTGTTGAGACAATGTATGCCTGAAACTCAACATGAATAACTCTGCAATTTCACAGTGATTAATATAAAAAGGACAAAAAGAACAAAACCAAAAAGAATTTCAGGTAGTTTAGGACTGTATGTATTTTATATCAAAACAAGTGATCAATTCATGGGAAAATTGAAATTGAAATAATTAAAGTCAAAGCCAAAGATAAAAAAAAAGATTTTGAATAATTTAATCTGACTTGGTAGACTCATTGAATCCTCCTTTTCTCCCTTCTTCTTGTCCCTCTTTTAATTTTTTTATTTTATTATTTTTCCTCCTCTGCTGTCCTTTATTTTAAAGAGCGGCTTGCCTTTCCTATTTGTTTTAAGGCACTGTGGCATTGTCCTCTCATTGTTCATTGATTTGCTGGAGCAGGCACCAGTGAAGTCTCCATTGTGAGACTTGTTACTGTTTTTGACATATCAAATACATCACTGTAGCTTGCCAGGCTTTGCCGTACAGGCGAAATACTCTCAGTAGCTTGCTGGGCTCTCCAAGAGGGGCGGAGGAATCAAACCCGGGTCAGCCATGTGCAAGGCAAACGCCCTATCCGCTGTGCTATGACTCCAGCCTGGGCTGGAGCGGTATAATATATAGGATATAATATTCACCATATATTGTATAATTCACCATATATTCTATATTAAAATGAGGGGGCCTAGGAATGGAGGAGGTCAAAGGCCTGAGCCCCTAGAGAGCCCCCATTACTCTGTGCTTTGCCCCTGATGAACTGAGTCCAAGTCAGAACTGAATGTGCACCCCTCCTTGCCTGCCACGTGCCTGCACACCTCCAGGCCCCCGCTCTGGGCGGGCAGGCAGGTGGGACTCACCTTCACAGCGGCCTCCCCGGGTCATGCGGTAGCCACTGTCGCAGTGCTCACAGCGGAAGGCGCCCACCGTGTTGACACAGTGGCCTGTCCCGCACACCTGCGGCCGTCGACACTCGTCCACGTCTGTGGGCAGAGAATACACTGAGGGCCAGGCCCAGCTGCCACTGAGCCACCTGGCCCCAGGGCGCCCATCTCAGCAGCCACAGGGGGAGCAGGAGGTACGTGCACCAAGCCGGCCTCAGGAGCTACTCGGGTAGTCTCTGCACTTACTTTTGCTACTTGGGTCACACCCAGATATGCTCAGGGGTTCCTCCTGGCTCTGAACTCAGGGATTACTCCTGCGGGTGCTCAGGGGATCAAACCCGGGTTGGCCGCATGCAAGGCAAATGCCCTCCCTGTAGGACTGTCACGCTGGCTTTATCTCTGCTCCTTCTTTGATGGTGGACAGGGGAAGGCCCTGTCTGTCCTCCAGTTACCGAGGGCAGTGTCCGGAGCAGTGGGACCCAGCGCGGACCGGTGCCTTACCGATGCAGTGGGTGCCCTCCTCGTTGGCCATGAAGCCCGCCGGGCAGATGCACAGGAAGCTGCCCTCAGTGTTCTCACAGCGGCCATGGGAGCAGAGGTTTGGCACCTGTGCACACTCGTCGATGTCTGGGAGAGGCCAGAAGGCAGGGTCAGGCCAGCGTCATGCCAACGCCCATGCTGCCTACTTGCTGGGAAAGTGCCAGTGGGCTCCCCCTGGCCGACTGAGTTATAGGAACATCTGGTTTCACCACGGTTAAAGGAGAAAATGGTCTAATGTGCAACCGTTTGAGAGTGATGATCACTGTCTCTTACCTACACACTTTCTCAGCTGGTCACTGAACGCATAGCCCTTGTAGCAAATGCAGGTATACCTCACTGGAAGGTTGACGCAGTGTCCAGCTCCACAGATATTGGGGTTCACAGTACATTCGTTGATTTCTTTCAGGAAGAGATAGGAAAAAAGACACAAACAGAGATTCTTCGACACTTGTAAATTATTAATTTTCTGACTCGAAGTCATGATGCAGTAATACAAAAAGGTAGCCTAGTCTCTAAAATAAAGTATAAGTTCACTTGGTTTTCTAGTTAATTGACCAGTAGGAGGAATTATTTCCTAGTGAGCAGGAATTTCTAATGAAACAACTTCTACAGTGAAGAAGAATAGGTAGGTGGTGAGGAACGGGCCAGGAAGGAGAAGCTGTAGAAACCAATTCCTCCAGCTGCTTGCTGGTTGGAGACTGAGTTTCTGTCTACCCGAGTTGATCTGAGACACTGGCCTTCAAGTTACCGTGTGGTTTCCCATGTGAGAAATCTATGTTCAGTTTCTGTTTGTCAGAAGGCCAAGTTTAGGTTTCAACAAATACATCCAGCCTCCTCCAGTGTGTCTTAGTAATCCTCCAGAAAGAGTTACCATTTCTAACTCAAGTGAAACTTCTGGTTTCATATGCTCTTAATTTGCCAATTCCAATGGGGACGAATTCTGCTTGTGCTGGTGAGGTACAATCTTCTTCCACACTTTTCCCGTTAAACTCTCCTTTCCCCTTGATGTCCTAGTGGTCCCTGCTTGAGACACTTCTCGAAAGCCTGAGCAGGTTAGTGCTCACACACATGCTGGTAGAGCAGAATCACAGGAGTCCAAGGTGAAAAAAATATTAATAACCATTAACTATGGTTATTAATAAGAGCTCTATAACCCCAAAGACCTAGGAATCAAAGGCGTAATCAGAGAGTGTAACTAACTCTGAGTGTGAGGTTCATGGCAAGGACCTCACTAATGCATGCAGTTTCAACTCCTGCCACATTTTCAGTGCTCAAGACAAGTTTGCCATTGTAATTACAATGGTTCCTTTGAAGTCATTTAGGAAGGCATAACAAAAGAAAAGCCTGTTTATGGCAATATTGCTGTGAGTTGTTGCAGTGGCACGTCAAAGAACCATACATTTACAAATCCTTTCTCTTTGAAAGCCAACTTATGCTGACCCACTGCCAGGAAGCTAGAGCTGTTTTTGTAACTTCTGATAGAAAGAGCTTTAAAAATTTTTTACACACGTGACACAAAACGTTATATAACATTCACAGAACAGGAAAATGCCCCTTAGTTAAATACAGTTGGGTGCAAGGTGTCAGTTTCAAGTTCAAATACGGATACACGGATGAAAAGGAAGATGGGGCGGAAAGAGACCCCAGGGTGCCAATTACGAGTACATGTAATTTTTCACACTTGTCTGTACTGGTCGAAATATCCACAGTAAGCATGCATGACCACCTTTATAGTCATGAAGTCTTCCATTGAAAAAGTGCCATTTCTACATGCCACAAAAGACTGGAGGTAAGAGGTGACCCCTCTGCAGGTCACAGGATCTCACTAGCCAGCGTATCTCTTGCTGTCTCTATCGTACCAAGGCACTTTCTTTGAGTTCTGGTGCTCCATGCTCAGTTTTCCATGAAATTCTTGACCTTCCTTTATATTATATTCTTTCCCACCGTTTTCTCTTTGTTTTATAGGGCCACGCCCAGCAGTGCTCAGGGGTGCTCCTTACTGGTGCTCAGGGGAACCGTGACTACTAATGATCATTCCTCAGGGCTAAGCAGGTATCCCTCTAAGTTGGCCCTGCTACCATTTGCTTCTAACTGACAAAGCGGAGTGATCATTTTGCAAAAATTGAAAACTGAAGATGCGTCTTCTAGGGATAAGACAGCAGAGAGGATTGCTAGGCTGTAAATGCTGGGATTTCCTACAAGGACAGTGCAGCAGTCACTCACTCCACCAGCCATGCACATGCCAGCATGAAGATGATCAAAGTACCTGTCAGTCACTAACAGGCAGACCTTCAGAAAGACCTTTTTAACAGAGGCAAACGGAAGTCTTCAAAAATACACGAGCAAATAACATCTACTCCTACATCACACTGTGCCAACCTATTCCAATTATTCACTGGTGCAAAATCAGAAGAGTTTTAACATGATAACATCTTAACCTTTGAAAGTGAGTACCATGGCTTTTCCTCCTAACATCTTAACTGAGGCAAAGGAGGAGAGTTTTATGTATGAGAAGGTCTAAGGATCGTTAGTGGACAGGTGCAATTTGACAATGTGAGTGACACTGGGTCCAGCACTTGTAATGTGTAAGAAGATGTCGCTTTGACACCACTAGAGGGTACCAAGAGATTCGCCCAGGAAGGAGAAGGTATTTATTGCAGTTCACGTGATCTCTTGGCATTGCTGGTGTGATGAATGCATCAGCCTGACTTGGTGGCCCCTTTCAGGAATCCACCCTTCTAAGGGAGAAAGAGAACTTTCCTCAACATCCTCAAGACACCCCTCTACTTATTTTCTCTTCACTGGCCATTTAAGAGTTAACTAACACCACTTAGGGTAAAACTGAATGACAGGTATACCCAGAAGTCTTAAGCATGTCTGCTGTTACTTCTTGGCCCGTTTCCTTTTCGAGCAGACTGGCATGCCTGAGCGTAAATAGTTCACAAAGAAAGAGGAGGATTGTCTTGAAGAGAAGGAAAAACTTTCACTTCTTCCAAGTTCTTAAAGAGACATCATGTTCTATGGTTTTCTAAGAGGTCACTGTAGGTATATGAATCCATTCTCACAGTGACAATTCCATTGATTGCTCGGAGCAGATGAACATGGTGTCAGCTTAGAGCGATGGTGAAGCCTCGCACAGAAGGACTCGTTCTTCTACCCCAGGGAATTCAGAGTCAGTGAGAAAGTTTTGTCTTCACTTGGCTGGCTTTCAGAGTGATTCTGAAACTCTCCTGAGTTACCTTCTTCCTAATTCCCATCCCTTGGTCCTTGGGCCTCAGGACAGCCTGACGCTTTCCTGCCACCCCTATCTCCTGAAGCAACAGCACCATCATGGGCTAGAGGACATCATTCCATGTCTTTCACAGTTCATTTAGAAGTTGGACAAACAGTCACAAGCAGAGGCCAATGGAAAAGCAAACACTATTCTAGAAACAAGGCCAATGGTGGATTCAGGAGTTTGGTATCTTTATTTTATTTTCTAGCTCTAAGTGAAAAGGAAAGCTTTTGCCAAAATAGGATGATGAGCACGCTGACTTTCAACGTTTTTCCTCATCGTGTGATTATGCCAAGCAAATAAACGAACGAAACCTGGAAATATTAAAAGTGCGATGATTTGACATGCATAAAGCAGCCCTGTTGCCATCAGCACAGTTTACTGAGGCTGTACTGACACTGGTGATGGCCCTCAGGGACAAAAATTTTTGAGAGGTCAGTTCCAAGTGTTGCAAATGATCTGATGAGCAAATCATTTGCCTAAAGTTGGAGCTCTGAGAATTCCAAGGGTTTCTGCAAGGCGCTCTTGGAAGTCAGAGCTGTCTCTCACTGGCTGCTCCGAGGGGCCAAAGAGAGAGTTGGGGAAAGCTGGAGGAAGGCATGAGTTGTTAACTCACAGGAAAGTTTACATAAATGCCCTGGCCACAGACCTGCCCTGCGACTGAGCATCCATTGTTCCACGACAATCGAACAGATGTTTCCACTTTGTAAATATTTGCCAGAGGAGTAGAGACTTGCTTTTCCGATCTCTCCTTGAGCTAGCAAGACTCTAGCATATATCAAGAACATATATGCTGAAATGTCCAATTTACTTGGAAACAGTATTCCGGCTACAAGTCAGCAGGTCAGCTAGGAAGAGTGGAAAACGTTATACTTCCTCCCTGAAAATGTGCGACTCTTTCTGTAATGATGACATGCTGTGTGTCTGAGAACTCTTAAAAAACTACTCCCAACCTCACCGTCAAAAAGAGATCATCACTGAGCAATGTGGAACGGATTTCATTTATTTTAGACTCCTACTTATTATTCTAGCCCTTTCCCCAACTGAAGGACAAAATGCATAGTGACAGTAACATTGATCTCCTCAGTGTTTCCGGGGGAGGAAGCACTGTCTAGTGCTCCCCAGATGATCGATCCACTTACGTCTTTAATCTACATTTTGGCGGGAACACCTACATTTCTGATTTAAATTAAGTCTGACACAAAGCAGTCTGCGGGTTCCAGTGTGGACGACTGATGACAGTGTAGTCCCAAAGCTGCAAACAACTGTAATTCAAAACCGAGTTATTTCCCCCCACGAATTATTGCAGAAGGGGCTGTCAGTGGGAGGCTGTGTGGGAAAAGAAAACGAGTGTCACTTGCTCCCTGGGAAGAAATGTGGTTGGCGCTAGCAGAGGTGAGTCCCACGTTTCTACAGAACTCCAATGAAGCTGCCTTCCAAGAACTCCTGAGACTCCCCTTCTCCTCCTTTATTTTTTACGCCAATATTTGCAAAGGTCAAAAAAGACCTTTTCGGGGCTGGAGCAATAGCACAGGGAGTAGGGCGTTTGCCTTGCATGTGGCCGACCCGGATTCAATTCCCAGCATCCCATATGGTCCCCTGAGCACTGTCAAGAGTAATTCCTGAGTGCATGAGCCAGGAGGAACCCCTGTGCATTTCGGGGTGTGACCCAAAAAGAAAAAAAAGGCCTTTTCCAGCAAACCCCACTGGCCTTCCCAGAGGTAGTTTGCAAGAAGCCTGGGAGTTGAAGTCAGCTCTGTGGAAATGGCACAAACCAAGAGCATCTTCCTCCTGCAGCAGGTCTGGAGGGCTGGAGGGAATGAGTGAATGACGTTGCTCCAGGAGTTTTTTGCTCAGCCCGCAGCAGAAACGCCCCACCAGGTGGTCGCTGCTAACCCGCACATCAGCCCTGAGGGCCCGTTTTCGGTGCTGATGCAGGAAGAGCGGAGCGCGCATGCGCAGCCCACAAGGGCGCCGCGAACTTGCCCTTGGCTGACCTCTGGCCCGCTGGAGAAGACGGATGCCCAACGCTCTGCGTGGTCTTCCAGGAGCCTCCAGCATCCCTCCCACGCGCACCTCTATGAAAGCGGCTGCAGCCCGTCTAGGACACTTACAAAAAGCTCTTTTTCCCTTGAGTTTATGTGCAGTACACAAAGCACGCAAACCTCTTGGTAATAAAAATAAAGGGAAATTCTTTTAAAAGATACTTTTATTAATGTAGAGGTATTTTACTATAACTGTCGCTGTCACTGTCCTCCCGTTGTTCACCGATTTGCTCGAGTGGGCCCAATCACGTGTCCATTGTGACACTTGTTACTGTGTTTTGAGATATCAAATATGTCACGGGGAGCATGCCAGGCTTTTTGCCGTGCAGGCAAGATACTCTCAGTAGCTTGCCCGGCTCTCCAAGAGGGGCGGAGGAATCGAACCTGGGTTGGCCAGGTTGGCCACATGCAAGGCAAACGCCCTACCTGGTGTACTATCACTCCATCCCTATAACTAGTGTAATAAAATAATAGAATTGCAGGGCAAGCACCTAACCACTGGACTATCTCTCTAACGCTGTGTTCCTTATTTCTTTCCATAAACGTATACTCACAATCACGATCACGACCATCCTGTTGTTCGTCAATTGCCTCGAGCAGGCCCCAGTAACGTCTCCTTTGTCCTAGCCCCGAGATTTTTTAAAATGTGCCATATTCAAGGCTCTTTCAGGGTTAGAAGAATGAGACCTATCATTGTTACTGGTATTTGGCATATTGGGTACGCCACGGGGAGTTTGCCAGACTCTGCCGTGTGGGCAGGTTACATTCGGTAGCCTGCCAGGTTGTCCAAAGTAAGAATGAGATAATAAGATGTCTGGGAGCTGGGTTTTATAGTCTCTGAAAATATATTCAGGACAGTAAATATTCTCCTTCTTTTATTCCCCTCTTCTTCCTTTTGTTATACCTGTTGCACTGACCAGAGGTCAACACCCGTAGTTATGGTGTTCTCTGGGACTCTCACTTTGGGTCACAGTGCTCACCCACTTCAGCTGTCACGCTCACACACACTCGGCTATGGCAGTTGCTGATGTTGCAGCATCCCGAATAGAGCAGGGGTGGGAAGGCTCCAAAGATCAAACTCTCAGCCTAAGGCTTGTAAGTTTGCTACATGGCTATTTCCTGGCTCCTCAAAACATTCACATCTACACGACACTCCACGGCACCATCCACAACCAACTCCTGCACATCCTCCTGTTTCCCATGACTTAGAACATATCCCTACTTGGGCCACCACCACCCGTCCTGTCTGAGTAATCTCACAGCTGTGATGCCCTGGAATCCTAAACAAGACACAAAACTCCCATCCTGTCTTCTCCACGGGCCGCACATACCTGTCACCTGAGTAGGGGCAATCACTTGGCTGGCACTTGACGTGGAACCTTCAGGAGCGACCTCCACAGGCACGGGAGGGGATGTTTTCTCAATCACGACTGTACAAGGAAGAAGGCAAGAAGGGAAAAAAAAATGAAAATCTGTCCTGCGCACGGATTCCATTTCAGAATGAAGTGCAGCTCAGACTAATAGACCACAGAGTTGTCGGAGAGTAAAACACTGCCACTGGTCCTGAAAGCTCCAGGGATTAACAAAGCACTGGTGGCAGTATTTAGTAGGAACATCTGAGAGCCTTTTGGAAGCCAAGAAAAACCACCCGACATCCAAAGTGCATCCAAGAATGTTCTAAAAATACATACTGCTCCTGGCCATAGGAAAGAGTGAAAACTAGCTTCCTGGCTATCCCATGTTTATAGAATGCTATGGGAATATATTCAAAGCGATATTTGGCTTGCTTCTCACTCTCTCAACTTCTCTTGAGAACCCAACTGATTTATTCAGCCCTAAATTCAAAGAAGCAGCATTATTTTTTTGCTCCTGCAAAGAGCACGGGCTGATTGCAATTACCTGGAAACTGGGGCTGCAGATGAATTGTGGAAACGCCTGGAGAGAGCTGGGGTTGACCAGGCTCAAGTTTGTTTTTCCCGTGATCCAAGGAAGCAATTTCCTGGACAGGCATGGTAGAAAGAAAAAGAGATTGCTGAGAGCACTTGTCACTGTCCACAGCGACTACTGAACCTAATTCTTCCCCTCCAGAGGCAACCGGACCTCACAGGGCGGAGGGCTGAAGAGGCTGCACCAGAAGGGAACTGAAAGGAAGAGGAACTCTGTCTGTGCCTCTGGATTGGGGAGCCCTTGAGGCTCCCTGATAAAGCTGCTTTAGGCACACAGCGGGCCCTATTTCTGCGACGGCTCACAGCAAGGTCCCTTGGGCAAAAGCCATGACTCAGGGTCCCACATCCAGTCTGGAACAAGGCAAAGTAAAGTCACAGGACCAAGAGCTCACGCATCCATGGCTGTCCCAGGAAGAGGCAGCCCTGCTTTGCAGATGCCGCAATGGCTGGGGCAAGGGAGCTGGGGAGTTGGGGAGTGAACAGGCTTCTTGGCTGGCTCGCCACAACTCTCCACTCACACACTCATTCTCCAGACACAGGGGGATTGTCCTGGCAGGGCCTCCTCCCTCCTCTGTCCTGTCATCCACTCCTGTCCGCTGGGCTACGAGCAAATGAAAAAGATGGAGACTTGTGCCCTGTTTCTGCTTCCTGTCCTGAGCATCACAAGGACTGAATAGAGTAGGCGAGTTGAGGCCCCACAACCTCAGATACCCAAGGAGGGGCCTGTGTGCCCCAGGGATCCCCCCTTGCCAATCTCCAGCTGCTCCCTGATGCTTGTGCACTCTACATTCTACTGGGGTTAACGGTCAGCCTCTCTCAGCAGGCTCACTTCTGTCGGCTGCCTCATTAGCTGCTCTCCGGACTTTCAACATCACCATCCCTACAGTCTCTGAAACACGGAGTCTGCCTGAGGAACTCATGGACGCTCCAGAGTGGGGGCCTGGGTGCTTCCAGGTCATAGCCACAAAATGCCCCAAGTGGCCTGTCTCAGCCAAAGTCACCTTTCCCGTGCACACCCTGCTCATTTCTCAGCCTGTCTGTGGTGTGCTATCTTTGTTCTCACCCTTTTTAGCAACAGCACACACTAGGGTGTTCTCTCTCTCTCCTTTCTCTCTCTCTGTCACAAACACACACACACACACACACACACACACACACACACACACTTGCATGCGCAAACTACTGGAAGAACCTAATTGGCCTTCCACAGCTGTTCTTCCTCCTGAAACTTGTCCTCTAGGACTCCCAGCAACACACACAGAACCCCTGTAGCCTACAGGCAGAATTCTGTCTCCCGCATGGGGCAGAGGCATCCCCCTGTACTAGCTACCAACTGAGCAGCCTCAAACCAGCCCCCACTAAGCAAGTCTCTCAGGCTCACTAAGGTGATTTCTTGTGCCCTCTTCCTAGGACTCCGCCTTTGCACACAGAATTCCCAACACACACACACACACACACACACACACACACACACACACACATCCCACATTCTCAACCCACTTTCAGATTCTTCTTGAAAGTTGCCATGAACTCAAGTCATTCATGGCAAGGAGCAAATGGAGGAAAGTTGAGACTTGTCAGGGGTAGGGCTGGCCACTCACACTTCAATTTCTCCCCATGTCCACCAGAACTCAAAGTCCGCAGACTGTGACTCCTGCATCACGGTCCCTGGGGTTTGCAGTGTCCAGGGTGTGATGAGCATGGGGAAGGCACTGCTGTTAGCTCCTTTGGGGGCCAACAAAAAACAGTGCTTCTCCTTGGCAGGTACCAGCCCTCTCTCAAACCACACCTGCTTTCTGTCTAGGTTCTTGTGCATGGATGTTATTCGCCTTAGGTTTACAAGCTAAAGATCTTCTCAAGAAGATAATTTGATGGAGATATTTTATATCCACGTATGGACATAATTTATATCCACGCCCCTGCACTGATGTCCACTGAACATTCTTGTCAGTATACATAAATAAACACTTTAAAGGGATCCCCATCTTCATGCTTTCATTAAATGAAGAACCAGAGCCACACTGGGAGAAGTCAAGGAATTAGCAGACCTATCGAGTCCTGTCAGGACACAGTACGCTGCTGGCTAGGAGCTGATTCCTTTCTTTCTGCTTCAGCCCCGACTTCCCACTCCTCTCCCCACTTCTTCTCACTAGCCCTCGAGTCCCGTGAGAAGCAGACACCTCTTGCTGGTTCTCGAGAGTTCTGGCTGTGTGTTGGCTGCTCCCCCGTCTCTCCTCCCATGAACAATGACTATTTCCTTCCCCCAATGATGCGTGATGACATCTTTACTACAGTTCTGTCTATGAACATCCCAGGACTCCAAAATAAAATCATAGCAAGTTATAAAAAAAATTGCAAATGATGAATCAGTTACCTTCTCAGAGGGTATAGTTGCCACTACAATCAGAAAAGAAAGAAGAACCATTAGTGCAATTGAGAACAATCAATTCCTGAAGATTTCAATGCTTAGTAAGCAACCAACATGCCTTTCTCCCCAAAGGAGTAAGTGGGAAGGAGTCCAATGCAGAGCGATGGCCCCATGGGGAGTCTGGGCAGTGACTGCTGAGCAGGAGAAACTGGTTCTGGAGGTGGGGGGGTCACTTCTCAATCACAGCTGCCCCAGGGGCTGCTCCCACAGAGTTCTCTCCCTCTCCTTAACCTTTTCTGTCACCTTATTTGGTGGCTAGTAATTTTGTGAAATCTCCCACATCCTCCAGACCAATCCTCTCATGCACCGGGCACCGATTTATCTTTCAGGTAATTGGGAACATCTGACACACATCATCACACACACACACACACACACGCTAAAGGACACAGTCCTCTCCTTTAGACTTAGCAAAGCCTGGCCCCCTGACACCTACAACTCTTATCTGCTGAAGGCCGGAGGGCAGGAATGCGTGTCAACTAGAATTATGGAGTGGGGGCCGGGGTGGCGGAGGGAAACCCAAGTTTGTGAGATTCAAGGCAAGATCAACACTGAAGGTTGGACCAAATGACGCAGCTTTGGGCTGGCCTGGATCTCGGAGGGCCACTGGCCTCTCATTCATCAGCACTTAGTATCAGCTCTCAAGTCTCAGGACAGCCACTCACTGGGATTTTCCTGATGAGCTGATGCCTCCAGAGGTAGCCTGGGGTCATGAGCAGCCCACGTACCAGCTGAACTGTCTCACTGCTTCAGTATTCTCTCAGGGGAAGAGCCAGGCTGCAGTCCATCCACCTAACACGTGCCACGGCCCTCTCTAGACGGGACGCGAAGCAGGGCCATCTGCACTGCCCGTGTAGGGCACACACATTCTCTAACATGTCAGCGCATTATGCCATGTCTATGACGAGCACAGCTGCCTTGCAGCAAGGCCCCGGCAGCTCAGGGGAACCAAGGACATGGGGAGCTCTGCAAGAGACATCCCCGGGGGAGACTCTTAGCCCCCCAAAGCTTTATGAACCGGGGTCTGATCTCTCCTCTCAAAGCCCAGATGTGGACACCGGGTGTTCTGACAAGAGAGTCTCCTGAAAGGCCAGCAGGGAGCCTGAGAGAAGCAACGGGAGTCCACTCAAACTCTGGGTCGGGGGTGAGCATTTCCGTGTCATGAACATCCTCTAAGTACTAGCAGGAGCCCTCAATGAACTCTCCTGCCTTATTCTTTTTGCCCCCCAGTCTGACTCCTACTGCACTCAGCTGGGATTCGTCTTCACGATGATGGGGCTGATGCTCTAACCTTCTCGAGTCTGAACTCCACTTGGTACATAGTGAGTTACAAAATGGACTTCTAGATACAGAAGTGAATCCAGGCTATTCAGTGAATACCCTAACACACACACACGCACACACACACACACACACACACACACACTGGCCCCCAAACAGCTAAACAGTGTCCTGAGATCACCAACAGAATACTGGTGGCTAGGAGTATATAAGTCCCCAGCAAAAATTCTCCATTAAGGGCCATACTGTGCTCCCTTTGGGGTTGTTTCGGGGCACGTGGACACTTCAGGAGGAAATCCTGGACGGGGAGGGGACTAACGGCACACAGAGGTTAGGGACCAGGGGTCCACAACACCCAGAGCAGTAGCCTTAACCAAGAATCATCCTGGAATGACAACAGTGCTAAGGCTGCAGAAGCAAGTTCTAGAAGCATCTACAGAGGGAATCGAGGCCAAGACACGTGAGCATGACAGCAGAGCCGCCTCCCTCTCCCACTCACCTTCCTGCTCTGCCCGGCCGTGCCCGTGCTCCTGGGGGAAGCTGAGGGCCTCCACGTGCTCTTCCTTGGCTGGGAGAGGTGGAGGGTGAGTACTTTTAGCAACAGGATGGGTGTTCTTTGGCTTGACAAATACAAGTCCTTTACCTACATGGTGATGGATTGGCCTGCGTCTGTGTACGCCAGAAACCGTATAACCCATTCCACCAGGACAGATTTCCTTAAAAGCGGCTAGATTTGGGATGGGAAAATAGGCCTTTTAAAAACCTAAACAGTGCAAACTTATACAGAGGAAAAGAGCACGATGAATATGTCTTAATCAATCATCACTAACCGAGTCACATTCACAAACTCAAAAACAACAGATGCACAATGCTTGAATTTCTGGTAAACGTAATTTTTAAGTAAATTTTAAAGTAAATTTCTATTTACTTAAAGAGAAATCAACCATGTCCCTTAATAAACATTTCCCATCTGTTAATTCCTCACCACACACAACCAGAATTTATATGTCTCTAGACATGCACACACACACACATATATATATACATATATCAGCAATAAATTAAGAGATTTATTGTATCTAAATATTCAATATTCAAAATACAGTATTTAATATCATATATCACATTATGTATTATACAACACATTTCATATATTAGATTTTTATATAGCAAGGATGCTCTATTATGTATCACGCATTTCTGTAACATCAGCTGAGTCAGACTTTTTCCTTTTCTTGCTGTTTTCATTCATTACCAACAAGAAACTCAATAGGATCTCCTTAAGTTAGATGACTAACAAAAAAATTGAAAAAGAAAATCTACTCTTCAGAGAAATGTGGTGCTGAAAGCTTAGTCAGTAGAACAATTCAAGGGGCTCAGCAAAGAGCAGTTTGTCTGCTACAGGGGAAGAGTAATTAAGAAGGGTTGGAAGGGGGGAAATGTTTTGGAGGGGAAAGTTCTCAGGACGGGGAGAGGGACTCTCAGTCCTGGGGCTGAGAGACAGCCAACAAGACAAAGGAAACAGGCCCAGTCGAGGCCGTCCTTTCTCGGACAAGAGGGCTAAGGAATTATCACCTGCCCCAATGGGTGAGGCCAGCACGCAGGAGAGATTTGAGGCCCAGGGAAAGCTCTGATTGTCAGAAAAGTGGTCCTGGAGGTCTGAGATAATAAGAGTTGGTGCAGGTGATGGGGAAAAACCAGGCTGGCAAGGTGGAGTGAAGCCCGGGAGGGGATAGCCCCTCTGCCCTGGGTGTTGGCATTGGTCACAGTTCATCAACTCCAGGCACGCGGAGTTCTGGGGAACTTGTATTTCTTCTTCTAAACCTCACAGAAGAATGAGTCCTTTCTCATGCCTACCGAACAAGAGATCTTCTATTGAACGTTCTGGACTAAAATGAGTTCTCCATAAAAAGGAAGCGCTAAAATATTCCTTACAGCATGCCAAGCATTGGTTTTCTAAGGAGTTGGAACAGTGCAGATTCATTCTGTGTTTCACTGCATGGAAATGCAGCTCTTACTTGAAAGAATGGATGTTTTCAGAAGGAAACATGTTTTTCTAGCAAGTATCTGAAATGGCGGCAAACTACCAGCTTTATAAAAAAATCTCTGCATTAACCAAAGATTGGTTAAGCGCAGAAACATTTATCTTCAAATTGTTTTCATGATATTCACCCTCCTGACGGATAAACAGTACACAAGCACTCGAAGTGGACCATGGGGAGAACTATATTTAAGAATCACAAAGACTTGACTCCGTGGATGATTCCTTTTTCATCATGCATGTATCCGATCCCAGCGGAAGAGACTGGGGTCTTCTGGAGCTGCCCTAAGTTGCCCTGCCTGTGCCGAGCCAGAGCCGTGATGCCCGTCTGCTCGGTCAATTCTTTCCCACCCTCTCCACTAACAGAGGCAAATGGAGCTCTGCAAGTGTGAAGCACAGGCACAGCTGTAAGCCATGACGTTAGGACAGTAAGAGACTCTGCGACAGTCTGTGTCGGGCCCTTGGCAGGGTCTCACTAAGCAAACACAGGAATAGAACTTTGTACGTTCCTCCAGATGGGGGTGTTGGTGCCTGATAAGCTCGCCCTGTCTTGGGGGGCAGCCTTCTCTCTCTCCCAAGTAAGTCTGTGGGGCCCTGCTGGAGAGTTGGGTGATCCAGATGGGCTAAGGCCACTGCAGACACATAATACCCACTCTTTCTGAGCACTAAGCCCACTGGCTACGAAACTTCAGGGACACCAACTCCTAACCCTCAGCATCCCTGGAAATGCTCAGGACTGTGGGCAGGGCTGGCCTTTGAAGGATATAACACTCAACACGGTGACGGGTGTGAAGACATGTCCCTCTGTGGCTGGCAGCAAGAGCGACTGGGCATGGGTACATCCCCAGAGGGTCAGAGAAGGCCAGCTCTCCTGGGAGCAGAGGATGGGACGTAATGGCTATCCTGAACCTTCCAGAAGAAGCCACAGCTGACCCAGGAAGCAGGCCATGTTTATCACGGTCCCCATGGATGGGCCGTATGTCCCCGTGCACACTGACTGTCCCACTAGACACCAAGTATAAAGGCCCCAGCACTGGCTCGCGTGGCCAGGAGAAGAGTGTATGCGGGCAGGCGGCCGGGTCTTACCTGTGCCTGGCGGGGGGCATTTCTCACAGTGGGGGCCCCAGGCCTTGCCCACGCTACAACAGCAGAGCTGCTTGGTGAGGTGCACAGACAGAGGGTGCAGGCACTGCCTCCCGGAACTGACCAGTCGGTAGCAAGGCCCCTTCTCCTCCGAGATCACAGGGGGTTCCGCTGCAGGAGAGAGAAGATCTGACGTCTCCGGGAAGGACCCGGATCTACTTTTCACGCAACGGGGGGCACAACCCGGATGGAGGGAGGGCGTCTGAGACTGTTCTGCCATCCTGTCTATACTCCGGGCACCCCCTCTCTGCTGGTGGGGAACCCAGTGAACCACAGCAGCCCCTGGCTCCTAAGGCCACACCAGTCCTTCCCCGCACCCCAGGCCGTCCACCCTGCACCCCCGACGGGGCCCAGGTGATGGACACAAGACCCGGAAGATGCTGCCAAAGCAGAGATTCGGCTCAGAGCGACACATGCGCTGGTGTTTTCCCTCCGCCTTTTGGAGCTGAGACGCCGAGAAGCTGAACAACAGGCTGGAGGGTGGTTCTGCATGTCAGAGGCCCAGGATGGCTCCCCTGACCCCCCAGAAGGGATGGATACTGCCTTCAAAACATGCATTTTCTATGTAAATGGGGGTGGAGAACTTCCCCTTAGAATCAGTTCCACCCGTCCTCCATTCCCGTCTCTCCTTTCTGCTCAGACCTAGAAACGGCTGGACAGAACGGGCCTGGTGCTCTGCATCAGGAAAAACTTTTTTTTTTTTGAATTTTTATTAGTGAAACACCATGAGGTACAGTTGTAGACTTACAAATTTTGTGCTTAGGTTTCAATTATACAATGATCAAATACCCATCCCTCCACCAGTGCCTATTTCCCACCACCACGGATCTCAGTATCCCTCCCACCACCCACCCCTCCCTGCCTCTGTGGCAGGGCAATCCCTTGTGTTCTCTCTCTCCTTTTGGGTGTTGTGGTCTGCAAAAGAGGCATTGAGTGGCAAACATGTTCAGTCCATAGTCTACTTTCGACATGCATCTCCCCTCCTGGGAGGATCCTCCAAACATCCTTTATTTGGTGCTCCCTTCTCTATCTGAACTGCCCTTTCCTCTAGGATACCCGGCTGGCCTCTAAGTTATGGAGTAATCCTCCTGGTGCTGATCTCAGCTATTCTTGGGTATTAATCTCCTATTTTGTTACTTTATATCCCCCAGATGAATGCAATCTTTCTATGTCTATCCCTCTCTTTCTGACTCATTTCGCTTAGCATGATACTTTCCATATTGTACCACTTGTATGTGAGTTTCATGACTTCCTCTTTTCTAACAGCTACATAGTACTCCATTGTGTAGATATACCAAAGTAAAAAACCTGAGTGCCCGAGAACAGGAAAAACTCTTTGACTGAAAGGCAATCGTGAAAGTTTCTAAGTCTGTAACAACTCTGTCTCATGGTGATTCACTAAAATAGAAAATAAAAATAAATAAATAAATAAACAAATAAATAAAAAGTTCTACTCCCTCATCTCGAGGTCTGGATGAGACTCCGCCACTTGGCCTGCCTCTGACCCATCCTCCGTTCCCGTTTCTCCTTTCTGCTCAGACCTAGAAGGGTCTTCTGGCCCAAGGCAGCCCCCGTCTCTAGCCACCCCAAGAAACGGCCACATGAAAACATGGAGCTGGAGCTCCGGACTGGAGCAAGGGTTTCCACCACAGAGACCTTAGTCCCCCCGTGACGCCTGACCCAGACAGTTCACTTCAGGGGTCAACAGTCCCCAAAGAGTTGCTCCAAGGCAGGTTTGCCAGATCTCTGTCAAATTATTATTTTTTCATTACGTGGAATTCCCATGGCGACCAGCAGATTTGGAGCACAGCAGGTTTCACTGCAGGATGTGGTGGGCACCGGGGGGCAGCTGAGCTGGCCCAGAACCCTGCGGGCAGACAGTCCTGCCTACCACTGTCCTTGTCCCTGGTCTCCATCCGTCTGAGACTTGGGACTTAGCGACTCCACAGTACTGAGTCAAGAGGTTTTTGGGTTTTTTGGGAGGAGCAGGGGGCCACACCCAGCAATGCTCAGGAGTTACTCCTGGCTCTGCACTCAGGAATTATTCCTGGCAGTGCTTGGGGCACCATATGGGATGCTGGGAATTGAACCCGGGTCGGCCGCGTGCAAGGCAAACACCCTACCCACTGTACTATCGCTCCAGCTCCATGAGTCAAGGTTTTCTATCAGGCAGGCGGCTCCTTTCACCCACCCACACTGCGCTAAGGGATTCTGTTCCTCTAGAGTTTTGCCGGACAGTCAGATTGAGCTTCAGTGACTTCCTCATTTAGAAATGCAAGAGCAACGGACAGATGAGAAATACCAAAGGCCAACTGAGTATGAAAGAGGCACAAAATACAAGCCGTCCACTGTTTGTGGTAAGAAAGGTTAAGTGCCCCGATTCTCTCAAGGACAAAAGACCTCCAAATAATTGCGATGGATGGGTGGCGGGTGGTGGGGAGGGGGGAGAGTTTCAGAAAAGGGAAGAGAGTTATCAAATGGGTTATTTGGGGAAGTTATTCGGAGGTGGGGGCAGAGAGCAGCGAGAGCTTTCTAGAACCTCAAAACATACACAGTATGTCTAGTCAAAGAAAAAGTTTGTGGTTTCTTTTTTTCTCCTGCTGGACTGACTTTTGAAAATAAGCTAGGAAAGATCAAATGTCACAGAGGAAAAGCTTTTAAAAACCAATCTGAAAAGAGTGTGGATATCACCCCTGAGAGGACAGTCTGTCCCTGGAGTGGCTGAGCCTCAGCCTAGACGTGCGTGCGTGCGTGTGTGTGTGTGTGTGTGTGTGTGTGTGTGTGTGTTTTGTCTACAGGGCGTATCATCTTAAACACATATACACAGTTCTCTCTCTCGTATAATCAGCACGCAAAACGTTTTGCTCCAAAATCCCTGCTCCAAACTGTTTGGAACCTACAACACAGATTTCCATAGAAACAATGTCCATCAGCTCCTAAGAGCACATTGAGCACATGGCAGGGATTAATTGTAATACTAATCGCATTAACGTGAGCGTGAGATCCCAGAAACAAGGGCCCTTCAGAGACCCCAAATCCTCCAATTTTGGCAAACTGGCCCTGGCTCTCCCTCCCCCCACTCCCCCACTTCTTTTCCTCCACTCCTGGCCTGTGTCTCCCTCCACGGATGGACCTTGGCAGTGACGCTCTCTCAGGCTTCATCCCCAAGAACCTGGGCTGGCCCCGACAGCCAAGCCCCCCTCCGTAATTGAGGGAATCAGCCACCATGGCCTCTCCCCATTCAAACAAAAACTTCCAACGAGGATTTTGTTTTTTCAAGGGATGCGTGAGAGAGAATCACATCATGCTGCCTGTTTGTTCAAGTAAGATGCATCATGTTGACGCATCATGCATTGAGCGCGCGCGCGCACACACACACACACACACACACACACACACACCCCATGTAGGTATTTCATCGTCTGAAGAACCAAGACCCATGTTCTTCAAGGCAATTTCCCTTGAACATCTTAGCCTGAAAGGTCTGGTTTATACGTGCTTGTCTCTCAGTGTCACCTCCTAAGGGTATCTGGCTGTGATGTTCTTCCCCTGACGGCCTCCAGGCCACATCCAGGGGAGTCTGAGAGAATCATGGGCTCAGAGAGGCCACGGAAAGTCAAGCTCTGTCCTCAACAGTGTGCTGCATTTCAGAGCAGAAAAGAATAAGAAGCAAAACATCCACCAATGGGGCTGGAGCGATGGCACAGCGGGTAGGGTGTTTGCCTTGCATGCAGCCGACCCAGGTTCGATTCTCAGTATCCCATATGGTCCCCTGAGCACCGCCAGGAGTAATTCCCGGAGTACAGAGTCAGGAGTAACCGCTGTGCATTGCCGGATGTGCCCAAAAAAGAAAAACCATTGGTGTTTCCTTCCTTCCTTCCTTCCTTCCTTCCTTCCTTCCTTCCTTCCTTCCTTCCTTCCTTCCTTCCTTCCTTTCTTCCTGCCTGCCTCCCTTCCCTCCCATCCCTCTCTCATTCTTTCTTTCTTTTTTTGCAGTGCTGGGAATCAAATCCAGAGCCTCACACATGCAAAGCAAGTGCTCTACCACCTCTGGGACCTTAAGAACACCACAAAAGGGGGCTGAAGTATAGGCTTCACTTTTATGGATGCACCCAGAATTCAAATTTCTTTTTGACCTACCACTCTGGAGAGCCCAAAGAGCAGCATTCTGTCTGAGCTCCAACATGCCGTGTCCTTTGAAGGGGCCTCATTTCCATACCTCTATTGCCTATTGTTCATTTCCAATATGCCATCCCGGGACCGAGGCAGGGATCGAACACACGCACCTTAGCAAGCCCTGCACCATCTCTTGGCCCCACTCCACTCATTTTATTAGCCATCCCCGGCATCAAATACAGCCAGAAGATGATGAAACAGTTCCTGCCCAGGCTCTGAAATCATTTATCTGGGTTCTTCTCTCCTGAACCCTTGGGCACTCATCCTAGAACTGTGAAGTCTTGAGCAGAATAAACGGTTTCTCAGAAAAGTTCCCCAGTCTGACTGCAAAGGCTAGTATGTGCTTCTTGGAGTTGCTCTGAAATTTCACGTTCCCCCCAAAGCCTAGACAGGGCTGAGCCTAGCAAGCCCCTGAGGCCGGGGATGGGGGGAACGTGGTCAGAGCCTCCCACAGGGCCTCGTTCAGCCCAAGTGAGTCAAGAACAGAGAGCAGCAGGAAAGCCAGGCCACAGGCTAGAGTCAGGAATTCTGAGGGTGTTGGTCACCTCAGCGATGCGGAGATTAGGGTCAGCTGCCCATGGCCCCCGGCCACTGCCAAGTGCATGTGGGAAGAGTCAGCCACGGTCTGGGTGGCCTGGAGCTGCCCTTGGTTGATGTGAAATGCGGCAATGTGGCCAAGCTTCTTCTCCTTCTCTCCTTGCCTCTCAAGAACAGCCACTGCAAAGGCTGGGCAAGAACTCTGGACACGGGGCTGGAGCAATAGCACAGCGGGGAGGGCGTTTGCCTTGCACCTGGCCGACCTGGGTTCGATTCCCAGATCCCATAGGGTCCCCTGAGCACCACCAGGAGTAATTCCTGAGTGCAACGCCAGGAGTAAGCCCTGAGCGTCACTGGGTGTGACCCAAAAAAGCAAAAAAGAAAGAAAGAACTCTGGACACTGCACGTGTGTGCACAGATGGGCCTTGTGTGGGTGCCTGAGTATGTGGGACTCGCTCTCATTCCCCCAGGATGGTCAAGGGCGCCGCCATCTTGCCAGTACTCCCTCCTGGACACTCTAAGCATCGCCTCCCGTCCTGGTCCTCCCCCCAACCCTGCTACCCCACCAGCTTCCTCCGCACATAGGTCACCCGCAAGCCAGACAAGGATTGATCCCAGTGACTAATGCTGAGAACACTGCATATCTCTGCGATGTTCCATGCAGTAAATTCAGAGGAAAGAGAAATAAATCTGCCCACTCAACACGGGTGAAGAGCCCAGGGTTTCAGCTCCAAACTCAAAAGTGGAACATTTAACGAGCAACAAATGTCTCTTAGTACTTATCATTTCAGCTGTTGTAGCTGAACCATAAAATTGAATTATTTATTTTTCAAATAAAAAATGGATGGTTGTTTAATAAATTCAGTTTTATTTGGACAATGACAGAGAAAAATAAATGCTAAGACAGTGTGTAAGAGTTTCAAAAATCTCATTGGCAGATTCCGACAATCTTATTAAAACCTGGAAGTCTGCCCTGTGCTCCAGACATCAAACTGAGTTAAGTTTAATAAAATGCTTCGAGACCAGTTCTCCAAGGTTACCTAATCTGCAAACGTTAGGGCTGTGATTTTAACTAGACTACAAGTAAAATTATTTAATTAAAAGAATAAAGCGTTCACAGCAAATGCTTTGGCCAGACTCTGTGAAATCTTTACACGCAGATGATGAAGTGCTGTAAAATATTTATCATTTAATCTAAATCAGCCAGAATTATCCCTAAATTATCTGGACATTGTCAACGATGTGATTTTTGGCCTGAAATGCAAAAGTCCTCATCGTGTTTCAAATATACCTTGTGTGCAAACATAGCTTTGTAAGTCTAATTTATTCCCCTCCTCCTGCCAAAAATCTCCACCGTGAGGTGTCTGTCTGCTTCAAGATCAAAATGTAAGAGAACGCGGAAAAGAGAACTTACGTGGGTCAACGTCCTAATCTTCATTCGACAGGTTTTAAAGGAAACAGCAGTTATTAGCAACAATATTCCAACAGATTCATCCTCTAACACCCTGAAGGAGCGAGACCCACCCGTTTTGTTTTGCTTTGTGTCTTTCCCAAGCCCAAGCTTCTCGGTTCCCCCCGCACAGCTAGAAGGACATCCACCTTACAGAACAAACGCGGGCTCTTGGCAAGAACAAAAGGCAAGCTGCAAACTGGGGGACAGGGGCTGGAGAGGGGACACAGAGGGTGAGGGTGTTTGCCTTGCTTACAGCCCATCTGGGTTCAACCCCAGAGCTCCGTATGGTCCCCTGAGCACTGCTAGAAGTGATACCCGAGCACAGAGCCAGGAGTAAGCCTGAGCACCACTGGGCTTGGCCTAAAAAACAAGGGAAGGAAGGAAGGAAGGAAGGAAGGAGAGGCTGGAGCAATAGCACAGCGGGTAGGGCGTTTGCCTTGCACACGGCCGACCCAGGTTCGATTCCCACCATCCCATATGGTCCCCTGAGCACCGCCAGGAGAGATTCCCGAGTGCATGAACCAGGAGTAACCCCTGTGCATCGCGGGGTGTGACCCCCCCGAAAAAAAAAGGAAGGAAGGAAGGAAGGAAGGAAGGAAGGAAGGAAGGAAGGAGGAAGGAAGGAAGGAGGAAGGAAGGAAGGAAGGAAGGAAGGAAGGAAGGAAGGAAGGAAGGAAGGAAGTCGGGGAATATATGGCTACACTTTACCAAATGCCAAAGCCATATTAAAAAAAAAGAAAAGATAAAAGCAAAATCCCAGCAGGATAAAAATGAGAACAGAATTGCTCTGAAAATTACCTGGAGCATTTTTCTAGCAGGCATTCATTTCAAATCTTTAACCCTTCACTTGATCTGGCTTTAAAAGCCACGAGGAGCTTTCTAACTGGTGATAATGGGCAGAACCCAAGCCTTCCTCAGAGGGGTTGGAGGGGTTCGCTAAGGTCCACTCTGTGCTCACGCGTGGAACCTCCACTGACAGGAGGTGATCAGGCAGCGTCTCGAGTGATGACACGGATTTGGGGTTTGTGGCAAGGAGTTATTGGAGGAAACCATATATTTGGGACCAAAATTAGAACCCGTGGTCTGATGAAGAATTTTTTTTTGCCATCACCAGGTACAACGGAAAAGGCTCATGTGAACATTGACACGGCAAGCACACAAATTGGAAACCAATTTGGTGGCTTTTTGGAAGACAACAGAATAGAGTATTTGAAATTACAAATGAACAGAACATCTGAGTGGGAGGCCACGGAGAATATTTCTCCACCTCAGCCAACTGAGAAAGCAGAACAAAACCTCATTCACCCAGACGGTGGAGACTCCTAATTCGGAGTATAATGAAAGACAGAAGCCGGGCTAACGTCTAACGTGGCCATAAAAACGTATCCAATACTCAGGAAGGGAAAAACAGTTCATTTCCTACATGTGCCGACTTTAATTAACTGTCTTTTATCCTCTCAAAGTATATTCCCTTGGTATGTTTTTTTTTTCCTCTACCTTAATTCTTTGAGCTATTACATTTTTCTGAGGGCAGTAGAACTGCACCTTGGGGGATGGACAGGAGAGAAGAATTTATTCTCAGATACTAGGTTGGCCTCTCTGTCTTGTCATTTTGATTAATATGATTTTTTTCTCGCATCTTTACAATATTCAGCAAATCACTGGGTCTATTTTTTTTCCAGAATTCTTTCTACGCATGCGTGTACAAACACACTCACCTCCCCCCGCCCCTCACACACACACACACACAACCCAAAGCAAGTCCAAAATAGGAATAAAACACAATCGTTACTTACGAACGCAACTCGAAAAGGTCGGATCCGGCCCAAAGCCCATTTTGCAGGTACATCTATAGCTCCCCATGGTATTCAAACACTCACCATTGGGGCACAGCCCCTGGAGCTGGCACTCATTGATATCTGCGGGAAAACACAACGCTGTTATTGGTTTTCGCTTTGGGGGGGTCCCCCTCCTGGCGGTGCTCAGGGGACCACATGCAGTGCTAGAGGCAGAAAATCCAGGTAAGATAGATGCAAAGCAAGCACCTTACCCTGGCATCTAAAACACAACGCTTCTACTGAGAAACGCCCCGTCCTGTGAAATAATCCATCCAGAAATAAAATTACATTCACTTTCTTTTTCACTGTAATAACCTGTTGGTTACAGTAAATGAAGACTGTTTCAGGTGAGGAGTGAATTAAAACCAACAGACATGGGGCTGGAGAGAGAGCACAGCGGGTAGGGTTGTTTGCCTTGCACGCGGCCGACCCGGGTTCGATTCCTACCATCCCATATGGTCCCCTGAGCACCGCCAAGAGTAATTCCTGAGTGCAGAGTCAGGAGTAACCCCTGTGCATCACCAGGTGTGACCCCAAAAGCAAAAAACAAAACAAATTAAAAAAAAAACAAAACCAATAGGCATATATTGAATACCTATCGTGTATGTGACACAGAGCTACAGTCCACCTGGTTCTTTTCTAGGACTTAGGGATTTACTAGTGGACAAACAGGACAGTAGCCTGCAGAGAGTTTACACCTGTAGGTCGAATTATACTGGTTAGACCAGGTCAAGATTCCCTCTGGAGACGCTAACAGTCCAGGCGCACATGCAGAGCTATGTAAAAAAAAAAATCAAAGACATCAAGATTCGTTTCGGTCACCACCATTGCGGAGGGAATGTCAGAGACGCAGGCCTGGTCAGTGGGGAAGTGGCCCACACAGACAGGAAGGGGCTGGTTGAGGCCAGGGTGAGGGAGAAGCATCAGCCATGGGGCAGGAAGACTCTGCAGAAGTGCAGAACTGTCAGAACTGCAAGTGCAAAGGAAGAGACGGGTTGGGCGGGGAGGGCGGCAGACGGGGTCCTGGTGGGAGGCAGTGTGGGTGCTCGCAGGGAGTGGAGAGGGCTCAGGAAACCATGAGTCAAAGCGTTGGCTGGGAAAGAGGTGGGAAAAAGTAAATGGCCGGAGTCAGAACGGCTGAAATTTGGATTTCCCGTGACAGGGAGATTTCTGAGCAGGAGAGAGACATCACAGGAAGCGCATCTGGCCGGCACGTGGCTTGGTGAGAAATGACGCAACGCTGGTTCCGAGAGGGAGTCAGCAGCCCCGGTGACAGGCCAGGTGGGTGACGGCGGGGAGGCAGCAGGAAGCAAGGGCTTTATCTCGCTGAAGAGGCTGGTGTGCGGCCGGCTGACCAGGAAGGGGACGGGAAGATGGCCAACGTGGAAGGGGGGGCAGCTTCAAACGGGAGAGTGGGGGGAAACCATTGTTAGTTTTAGGGGGGTCACGATCACGATCATCCCGTTGTTCGTCGATTGCCTCGAGCAGGCCCCAGTAACGTCTCCTTCGTCCTAGCCCTGAGATTGTAAAAAGTGCCGTATTTGAGGCTCTTTCAGGGTCAGGAGAATGAGACCCACCCTTGTTACTGGTATTTGGCATCGTGGGCACGCCATGGGGGGGTCATGTGGAGAAAAAAAGAGGCAGCGGAAGTGGTCCCTTTCCCCCTGGAAAGCCAGGCTGGAACTCCCCAGTCTGGTGTTCCAACACTATCCAACCACGGGGCTGAAGTCCAGGATAAAGTGGAAGAGAAGAGGCCGGAGTGATAGTCCAGCAGGTAGGGCGCTTGTCTTGCATGCGGAAGACCCAGGTTCGATCCCTGGCATCCCATATGGTCCCCTGAGCACCGCCAGGAGTGATTCCTGAGTGCAGAGCCAGGAGAAACCTCTGGGCACTGCTGGATGTAGCCCCTGCCCCCATCTCAAAAACCAAAGCAAACAAAAATAGAGGAAACAAAGGCCAGAAATAAAATCTCCACGTCATCTGCTCTATAGCTTAAACAATCTCAAATCCCCCACATGTCAGGCCCAAGGGGAAGGTAACGGTAGGTGGTTTGTAGGGAGACGCTTAGCCAGAAGGTGACTAAGCATTTAATTACCTAAGCATTTAATTTACACCTTCCAAGCACCCCAGGACCCATAGGGGTGATGTAGATTGGGTTCCAGGACCCATGGGGGTGCCATAGATTGGGCCCTTAGTAGACCACCCTGCTATGGCCATGATCTGGAGGTCCCAGCCTCCAAAACTGAGCCCCGCCTTCTGCTGCTCGAAGCTCTGTCGTTTACGGTGGTTCATTATCACAGCGTAAATGAATTAAACTGTCAAGGGAAGCAGGAAGCTTAAAAGGCGAGTTGGAGAAACAAAGATCACAGTCGCTCTCCAAGTCCATATTCTCCCGAGACACGGTCTCTCCCTCATAGTCTCTCTCTTCTTCTCTTGCCTATTTCTACTCCGGGGAAGCCTGGCTTCTCTCTCAAACACACTTTTCCCTCTTTCCCTCTCCTTACATCTTTCTATATAGGTTTCAATAAAAACTTTCTTGCTTCACATACACACACACACACACACACACACGAAAAGGAAAAAATGGAAAAAAAGATTACAGAGTCATCGGAAAAGTTGATAAAAAAATCTTTTTAAAATAATCTGACAAGTTTCAAGGGCGAAAATGAGTCAGCATTTGTGTTTTATGCAATGTGGCCCAAAAACAAAAGTTGACTGCTTTTGGCTCTGGGTGCATTCATTTGTGATAACGTTTACTTCCTTCAATCCTTAATTCCAATAAAACTTTCACTAAGGATCCTAAGAGATTAATTTTCTACATGAAAATGAAATCAGGGGGGAGAAATCATGACGATTCAAAGAGTCACTGAAAAGCCACTGTTGGCTCCCTTGTCTTAATTTAAGTCATCACAGCATTTGAAAAAACACCATCACCTGGGGCTGGAGCAACAGAACAGCAGGTAGGGTGCATCCCATTTGGTCCCCTGAGCACCAGCAGGAGTAACTCCTGAGTACAGAGACAGTAGGAAGCCCAGAGTATGGCCAGGAATGTTCCCCCCTCACCACCTCAAAAAGAGACACAGTTCCCCATTTGAGAGTGAACTTCAGTGATGAAGCACTGCATTTTCAATGATACTGAAATGAAAGAATGCCTCTGCTTCTTGGAGAAACCTCACGGTCTTCAGACGACAGCCCAGATGCAACCTGACTCCACACCAGCTCTCTCTCTCTCTCTCTCTCTCTCTCTCACACACACACACACACACACACACACACACACACACACACATATACACACACATATACACACACACATACACACACACACACATACACACACACACCTGTCCGGCACGCCATGAAAGCTGATATTCCCTATTTCACGATCCCTTAAGAAAACTGTCAAGAAGTAGCAGGAAGTGTGTCGAGTCCCGCTGGGGCTCGCAGAGAACAAGGGAAGCCCCTGGCCCAAGTCCCCTGGGAAACCCCCTACCTGGGAACCAGCCGGGTGGGAACCAAGTTGCAGGGCCAACCCTCCCCTGGCTGGCGTCCCGTGAGGGCTCAGAGCCGACCTCTCTCCACACAGTGACCCTCAAGTCCCAGGTGGGCCCCCGCCTGCCCCGGAGACCTCCAGGTGGCACTCCAGCCTCTCTGCAGCCTCCTGCTCAGGAGTGAGACGCCCCCCACGGCAGAACTCCCCGTCTGGCAGCCACTCTCCTGATGGCGCCTCTCACCCTCCTTGACACGCCTGTGGCCTCAGCCACGCACCCTGGGAACGGAACACAGGAAGTTGGACTTAAAAAAGAACCGAGTTTGGACAGGAAGGGCCAACTCCATGAGGAAGAGGACTTGGACGTGACACTTCCTTTTCCTACCGCCTCGAGTCACACCGGCCTGAGCCACCACCTCTCCTCAGCCAGGCTCTGGGAACCAGGCACAGGCTCAGAGCTTCCAGAAAAGACCATGCGTCAACCACCTCTAGTTCTCCTAGGTCTCTGAAGAGCCACAAAGGAAGAATCCTTAAATAGCTTGACTTTAGACTTTTTTTTTTAACTGAACCACCAGGAGATACACATTTACAAAGCTGTCCATGACCGGGTTTCAGTCATACAATGTTCCAACACCCAGCCCTTCACCAGTGCACATTTTTCCACCACCATGGTCCCAGTTTCCCTCACACCACCCCCACCCCTATCCTCCAGTCTGCATTAAGTGAATTTTACATCATACATAGGATAAAATGTAACCACATAGATAGAAAAGGGCCTGTCCTAAAAGTACTCAAAGAAATGCAAAATGTCCATATAAGAGTGCTTGCGGGTGTGAAATATCCGTGGAAGAGCGCACACAGCCCAAACCAGGCAGGAGGAAGAAAATGATAAAATTTAGAGCAGAAATTAATGACATGGAAACCAAAAAAAAAAAAAAATCCAAAAGATCAATTAAACTAAGAGCTGGTTCTTGGAGAAAATAAACAACGAAACCACTAGCAAAATAAACCACTAGCAAGACTCACAAGGAAAGAGAGAGCCCTCAGTCGGCTTCCCTTACATCCATGTAAGAGTGCGTGTACATGGGAGATGGGTGGAAGGGCCCATGAGTAGAGGCTGGCGCCTAGATGCACATGCTCCATCCAGACGGTTTCAGAACAGCTCAGAAGGTCTCCCTGGCCCTCCTCTTCGCACTTCAGCACTGCCTGGAAATACTTTTCTGACTCCTGCCTCACTGACTCCTCTTGTCTGTTCGTGAGCGTCATGCCAAGGGGAAGTGTCATGTTGAGGCTATTTTGTCGGGTGCCCGACTCCTGGTTAGAGCTGTCAGAATCCTCACGGATGCTGATCGGATGCAGCTGGTCCGTTTCACTGTGGTTCCATCTGCATGGCTGTGGGTACCCAGAAGAACTCATTCAGCCTCCCCTGGGCAGGCACTGGGAGTCTTTGCAGCTGGACGCTGTCACTTTCCTTGCTTTCGTGACAGTTTTTTGAAAATACATGTCATTTGGTTGGGGACCCATTCCTCTTGGCTGTATCTAGGCAGGACAATGAGTGGGTCACCAGGAAGGACCCAAGTTAACTTTCTCA